AAAGGAAATCAGTCCTGAATATTCATTGTAAGGACTGATGTTGAAGCTGAAGCTCCAATACTTTGGCAACCTGATGCAAAGAGCTGACTCATTTGAAAAGACCCTGATGCTGGGAAAGATTGAGGGCAGGAGGAGAAAGGGATGACCGAGGATGAGATAGTTGGATGGCATCACTGACTCAATGCACATGGGTTTGGGTGAACTCCGGGAGTTGGTGATGGACAGGGAGGCCTGGCGTGCTGCGGTTCATGGGATCGCAAAGAGTCGGACATGACTGAGCGACTGAACTGAGCTGAACTGAGGAGAGTTCAAAATATTGGATTAGACATTGTGACAAAAATTATAATAAACATAAAATGTAAATCATACTACAACTTTGAGTGGTTATCTTTATTCAGAGTAAGAGCACAGACTGTAATTCAAACTTGGAGGCTGAAATTGAGTCCCCCAGAATATACCTGAGGTTTCCCGAGTGGTTCTAATGGTAAAGAATCTGCCTGTTAATGCAGGAGGCATAAGAGACATGTATTCATTCGATCCCTGAGTGGGAGAAGATCCCCTGGAGGAGGGCATGGCTAACCACTCCAGTATTCTTGTCTAGAGAATCCCATGGACATAGGAGCCTGGTGGACTACAATCCATGGGGTTGCAAAGAGTCAGACATACACACACAGAATATACCTAGGTTATTTTGTCTTTTTGTCTAATATTTTCAAGAACTGTGACAGTTCTTGAACTGCTGAAGATGTTCTACTGCATTTTCACTGGTGAGAAAACCAACAGCTTGTCTGCGACAATCACAGGACTGGTAGAGGCAGGATTTGAACCCAGCTCGGTCAGCTTCCAAAGACCATGTTTACTCTGTCTCATAGGTGCTCTGAGGATTCATCATTTTCAATTGTTTCTAGACAATTTTATGTTTCTTTTGACTGTACTTTGAAGTATTTTTTGGAAGACTGACAATTGTCTGAAGTACTCTCTAGGATGTAAACTCCATGAGAGCAGGCAGAATTTTTTTTTTGACAGGGGTCAGTTTTGTTCCCTGTAATATATTCCCAGCAGCTGGAATGGTGTCTGGGCCATGGTATGTGCTTAACAAATATTTGTTGAATTGGTGAAAGTATAAATAAAATACTTCTGGGGGTGCTTCTTCCTTCTAGGTTATGTCTTTGAGGTTTGCTAAAGTATACTTCTAGGGGAGGTACCAGTTCCAACTCTTGCTATTCACTGAATAAATGAAGGATATCAATGTAGGTGGTAGAGAAAGCATTGAGTGGAGGGCCTCAGGAAAATGGGTCCGTGAATGTGCATGGTTTAGTTGAGTTTATCTCCTCTGCCATTTGGCTGAGGCCTGCCACAAAGGGACCATTTTTGTGTCTGTTCATCACTAACCACACCAGTGAGCCTTAAACTCTGGCTGTCTGAAAATGATTGGCCAGTACTGATCTACTCAATATAATGGAGTATTTCCATATTCAAGTGGTAGATCTCACCATATTTGTTATGTTCATTTATAAACGAAGTGGTATTTCAAGTAAGTGATAGCAACAAGGGTATGGAAAGCTACTATGTACTTAGATGAGTGTAAGGCAATTAAATATTTATAATGATTATTTTATTTTTTTATATTTGGCTGCACTGGGTCTTTGATGCTGCGCATGGGCTTTTTATAGTTGCAGCAAGTGGGAGCTACTCTCTGGTTGCACTGCACGGGCTTATCTAGTTGGTTGCTTCTCTTGCTGTGGACACAGGCTCTAGAGCGCATAGGCTCAGTAGTTATAGAGCATAAGCTTAGTTGATCTACGGCATGTGGAATCTTCCTAGACCTGGGATAGCGTCCCCTGCATTGGCAGGCAGATTCGCAACCTCTGGAGCACCAAGGAAGTCTTACAATGATTCAATAAATATTTACTTGACACTTGCTTTGGGCCAAGCACTCATGAATATTATGTTACTATACATTGTTTGTGGATCTAGAGAATACTCGACTTTTAAACACAGTGACTAGGAACTAATTGCCAATAGAGATTATTCAAAGCTAATTTGAATTAGTTTAGAAAGCAATCTATTTCTGTTATCCTTGTTTTTTACCTGAGAGATGATAATATTAGTGTGGGGATCTACTTGAACCCTCAGTGTTGATACAGAGAAGATTTTAAAGTGAAAATACTTGAGCTACAGAAGCTGCTGCAGGAATCTTCTCTGAATTTCCCTTTAGCTGACTAAAGTGGAGCCTCCTAAACATACACCTAACATTAACCCCTCAGAAGGAGTTTCCAGAAAATTCAGCTGCCATGGAGACAGACTGCCCATTCTACAAGCATTGAAAAGTCCAATAGAATCTTCCATACTTTCTCACTGAAACCCTCACTTCCCCCATCTTTGTTAAGCAGATATATATGAACCTTATTCATTACTAAGCAACTCGCACAGGTATATGTAAATAAATCTTCTCTTCTCTCCTGTTAATCAGTTAATCTGTGGAACCACAATAACTAGACTCAAGTTAGTAGAGAAAATTTTTTCTCCCAACATTAGCATGTATTTGTCAAGCAATTCATACCAACAGTACATTTTAAACAATACACAACAGCAAATTCAAGTTATGCTTAACATTTATAACTTCTACCAGTGGTTATAGAGGAAAACACACCCCAGGGACACAGCATTTAACACTGTCTATATTTGAAAGTAGACTGCTTCACTTGCTAGCCCCGACCCTGAACAAGCATAGCAATCTCTCAGTTCCTCCATTTTTTAATCCATAAAATGGGAATAAAAATTGTACCTCATGGGATGGTTATGAGAATAAAATGAGATAACACATGTAAAGCTTTTAGACTAGGGATGAGTGAATAGTAAGAGCTCAATTAAGTATTATTATTCCAAGGTTTCCATAGGGATGATGTGGGGGAGGTTTGGCCATTCCCTGCAATGATTCTCTCTAAACATCAATTTTCAGCTGGTTTCCTTATCTAAGGGAGTATTTCTGAATTAATGTTAGTGTTGTGACTGAGAATTAGTTTTCTTCAGGATATCAGTGTGTATGTCTCTATAATATTTTTTAAGTAATTCATCATTTCTGAATATTTGGGGTTCATTATGGACATAAGATTATGAACATTTTAAACCAACCTAAGGGTCAATACAATTCTAAAGGTTTATTAGCAATGCAATGCGAAGTTACCAGTACTCTGAATAATTACAATAAAGAAGGAAATTTTACCCACTAACTAGGACTTACAGGTCATTTGGGTTTCCAGAGCTTGGCTCTAATGAGTTAGAAAAACAAAACGAAAGAGAATAATCTGTTTCCAAGTTTACAGAATTTCGCTAATCTTGATTACCTGAAGTCAGGGTCAATACAGTTAATAACAATGACTATTAAAAACTAAAAGAGCCTCTTGATGAAAGTAAAAGAGGAGAGTGAAAAAGTTGGTTTAAAACTCAACATTCAAAAAACTAGGATCGTGGCATCCCATCACTTCATGGCATTTAAATGGGGAAACAATGGAAACTATTTTGGGGGCTCCGAAATCACTGCAGATGGTGACTGCAGCCATGAAATTAAAAGACGCTTGCTCCTTGGAAGAAAAGCTATGACCAACATAGGCAGCATATTAAAAAGCAGAGGCATTACTTTGCCAAGAAATGTCTGTCTTGTCAAAGCTATGTTTTTTCCAGTAGTCATGTGTGGATGTGAGAGTTGGACTATAAAGAAAGCTGAGCACTGAAGAACTGATGCTTTTGAACTGTAGTGTTGGAGAAGACTCTTGAGAGTCCCAAGGAGATCAAACCAGCCAATCCTAAAGGAAATCAGTCCTGAATTTTCATTGGAAGGACTAATGCTGAATCTGAAACTCCAATACTTTGGCCATCTGATGCGAAGAGCTGACTCATTGGGAAAGACGCTGATGCTGGGAAAGATTGAGGGCAGGAGGAGAAGGGGACCACAGAGGATGCGATGGACGTGAGTTTGAGCAAGCTCTGGGAGTTGGTGATGAGGAAGCCTGGCGCGTTGCTGTCTGTGGGATTGCAAAGAGTCAGACACGACTGAGTGACTGAACTGAACTGAACTGATCGTTCATTGATTACTTACCAAGTGTTAGGATTCCTGCTAATCTTTTTATAGACTTCATCTCACTTGACCTTTAATGAAACTCAGTAAGATAGGCGTGATTATTTCTGATAAACAAAGGAGGAAACTGAGCATTTTAAGGTTTGAATCACATGTCTGAATTCAAATGTCTAGAAAGTGGTGCAGGTTCTATTTGAAGACATGTAAGAGTGTCTGTTCTAAAGATTTCTTAACCTCCTCACTGAACAAGCTCCCGTGGTCTTAGTATTCATATTACATTTAGATAGGTTCTATAGTTTATTTGCTGATGGGATACACTGGGAGTTACACACATATATATATTTAAAAATTTATGTAATTGGAGGATAATTACTTTGCAATACTGTGATGGTTTTTGCCATACATCAATATGAATTGGCCACAGGTGTACGTGTCCCCTCCATCCTGAACCCCTCTCCCACCACCCTCCCCCCACTACCCCTCCGGGTTGTCACAGAGCACTGGCTTTGGTCGCCCTGAGTCACACATCAAACTCGCTCCGATTATCTATTTGACACGTGGTAATGCCTTTGTTTCAATACTATTCTCTCAAATCATCCCACCCTTGCCTTCTGCCAATGAATACAAAAGTCTGTCCTTCATATATGTGTCTCGTTTGCTGCCCTGCATGTAGGGTCATTGGTACCATCTTTCTAGATTCCATATGTATGGATTAGTATATAGTATTTGTCTTTTTCTGACTTACTTAACTCTGTATAATAGGCTCTAGGTTCATCCACCTTATTAGAACTGACTCAAATGCATTCCTTTCTATGGCTAAGTAATATTCCATTGTGTATATGGACCACAGCTTCATTATCCATTCATTTGCTGATGGACATCTATGTTGCTGCCATGTCCTAGCTATTGTAAGCAGTGCTGCAATGAACTTTGGGGTACATGTGTCTTTTTTCACTTATGGTTTCCTCAGGATATATACCCAGTAGTGGGATTGCTGGCTTGTATAGTAGTTTTCTTCCTAGTTTTTTTTTTTAAGGCTTCCCCTTCTTTTTTTCCTTGTTGTTTTTTTCGGTTGTATTCCCACCAGCAGGGTAAGAAGGTTCCCTTTTCTCCGCACCCTTTCCAACATGCAGTGTAGACTTTTTGATAATGACTATTCTGACCAGTGTGAGATAATACCTCATTGTGGTTTTGATTTGCATTTCTCTTATAATGAGCAATGTTGAGCATCTTTTCATGAGTTTATTAGCCATCTGTATGTCTTTGGAGAAATGTCTTCTGCCCACTCTTTGATTGGGTTGTTCGTTTTTCTGGTATTGAACTGCTTGAGCTGCTTGTATATTTTGGAGATTAATTCTTTGTCAGTTTCATTGGCTATTATTTTCTCCCATTCTGAGGGCTGTCTTTTCACCTTGCTTACAGTTTCCTTTATTGTGAAAAAGCTTTTAAGTTTAATTAGGTCCCATTTGTTTGTTATTTTTTTATTTCCAGTACTCTGGGAGATGAGTCATAGAGGATCTTGCTGTGATTTATATAAAAGAGTGTTTGCCTATGTTGTCCTCTAAGAGTTTTATAGTTTCTGGTCTTAGATTTAGGTTTTTATCCATTTTGAGTAAACTTCTGTGTGTGATATTTTCATTCTTTTATACACAGTGGATCAGTTTTCCCAGTACCACTTGTTGAAGAGACTGTCTTTTCTTGGAGTTATATCTTATGCAGTAAAAGTTAAAATGTTATAAATGAGGATAAGTATATGTCTATGTATGGAATATAAATATGCATTAACAACACAAAGAGCTTTCCAAAGAATCCTTTCTTTTGGTGACTGCAAAGAATATGAATTTCTCCTTTTCATTCTTCTCCTTTCCTTTCTCTTCCGATTCTGCTTCTTTGTCTTTGTCTTCTTCATCTATCTTCATCTCCTTCTTTAACCTTTCCATGAAAGAGTGGAGGAATATTGCCCTGGTCGCAGAGGTTGATGTGATCATATGGAAAAAAATAACTAGTGAACCCAGAGATCTTTCAACTGCCCTAAGATTCCCACACTTTGCTTTATTATCATTCATATTTACAGTGTGTCTTTATTCTAAAGATCTCAAAGGCTCTGAAACTCATATTATTATCATAAAGCTGTGACTCAAATACACACAAATTTAAATTTAAAAAGAGGATGATTAATTTCGGAGAGGTCTGGCTCACTTGGTGCTGACTTGCCTCTTTTTCCTGTGGTGAGCCTGAGTTTTCTGAATCAGCTACTATGTCCCTCTGCAGTAGACGGGTGACCCAGTACCTGTGTTTGCTGAGTCAGAGTATGCTGTATGCTCACGTTTCCTTTGCCTGAATGACTATATGAGGCCCTGTCACGTATACTTTTTATTCATGCAATGCATCAAGTAACAAGCAGAAGCAAAGGTTAATTTCCAGGGAATGCAAACAGGACTACTCACTCAAAGGAAATGGTTTGTGATAAAGAGTCATCTGTAGCCAAAGGCTTTTATTCCCCTTCCCAGCTTGTTTCATGTTTAAATATTGCTTATATGGAAAAAAGCCAGTGATAGTTTGAGTGTGTATGCATTATTTTTTAAGTCGAGGTGATTCTAATATGATCAGCAGAAATCATGAATGACTAATTTGGGTTCTGCTTGTTACGAAAACATCTGTGAGATTTCTTTTTCTGATAAGTACATTTGATTGTGGGTATTCCAGAAGATTCTGCTTTTTACATTTTAATACCCTTGGTGGATATTTATTCAGTCCTGATTGTGTGCAAAGCTCTGTACTAGATACTGAGGAAGGAGGTTATTAGAAGAAAAGAGGAAAGAGATATCAAAATGATTATAACAGAGGTTCAGCCCTCAAAGGACTGGAGGAGGAAACATCACATACACACATTTCAAGGGTGGAAAGTGCTTAGTCCTTTATGTGGGCTAAATATAATAGGAAATCTCATTTTCAAACTGAGACCCTAAGGTTGGAATTGTGGTTGCTAGTTCTTCTGGTCCTAGCAATATCTTTTCAGACCTTTTGATTCCAAACATTCATGCAAACATCATACTTCATTAATCTGCCCATGCTGGATTGATATTATCCAAGTTAACTGGAACTTATGGAAAACATGAAGAAGAGGGGGAAACAATTTCTATAACTACTTAAAGCTATTTTGTTTTTTAGGATTA